TTATCAATCTGTAATAAAAGACGTGAGGAAATTCTGTCTTTTTTAAAGACAAAAATTTTTGAGGCGAATTACCCAAAAAGAAGTTTGTAAAAAAAGAAGAACTCATAGCGATTATCGCGAAAAATGTCTGCTGATTTTAGACGTGAACCGTGCTCGATTCACTTTTCATGCAAAGGAAATTACACGAGCTAGGAAACATCACTCCTGCTAATTATATAAAAGAATGGCGCAATTTCAATTCAATTGACCAACAGTCATGCACGTAGTTTAGGGCAGCGCAATCAATTCTCCTTTAACTACCCCCGACGTTGAACATTAACCATTTTTCCTTAAGAACACGGTTTTAAGGAAATTGAAAAATTTTCATATAATCCCGGCTCTCGTCTCTTGATTATAACGAGAAGGGAGAATTAAATTTTTATCGACAAGCCAGTGGGGCGGCTAATTTAATAGCGCGTAATAATAAGGTGGCCCTATACCGATATTAGGAACGACACGTTAGTTGATAGTTTAAGGGCCTGAAACACGGAAGGGCTGAACATTGATTCGAAATCTGCCATTCCGAAGCGCTTAAAGCTGGAAATTTATTGCCGATCGGCGTGAGTTGCAAAAAGTGCTCGGCCAGCCTGGCAAAATACAACAAAAATCTAATTTTCGACCAAAATCGGCTATTCACTGCAGATTAGCTCGGGTCAATGTTTTCGAATTAATACGCATTTTTACGGTGCTTGACTCTGTAATAAGAAACATTTCGTCGGTTAAAGATCGCGACTGATCCAAAACGGTATAAAATGGGCCGTTGATCTGAAGCTTCTCAGGTGTTTTTCAAATAGCGCCTTTCATAACTCGTTTTGAGTAATTTTTACCAAATTTTACCCTTTCTCATATTTTGGGTCAAAATCTAACTTTTTTAGCTGAATGGATCATTTCTGACCTAAGAATGCTCTCAATTTGTATATTGGACGTGTTTGAACATCGTTGAACAAGAGTTTGGCTTTTCTAGTTTTCTTCTGATTAAACTGATGTAGAATTTAAGGTATTTTGAGCAACTCAATATTTTTTCACAAACTCCTTATGAAGCTTGCCAACAAAAATCTAAATTTTGCATGCGTGTTGTCGAGTTCAATGGCTCGCTTTTGACCTAAGAAGCTCCTTAATATGCATATTCGGTATGCATTATATTCAGTCCTTAAGTCCTCTCATTTTTCGGTTTGAAATCGTGATTAAAATCCCTATAATGTGGTCTACAATGTTAATTCTTTGTTCCCTGATGACGAATTCGAGGCATTTTATGAAACTTTATATTTTTGGAAAAAGCTGATGTTCGTCCCTTATGAAATTTTGGATCAAAATCAAAATTTAACATGCGCGATTTTGCTGCAGCTGGATGGATTGTTTTGGACCTAAAGAGCTCCCCAGTATGTATATTTCGCGTGTTTGAATCTACAAAATTGAAGATATTGGCGGCTTAAGATCGGGACTGTTAAAAAATCGCCTAAAACGGGCGAAAAATGTTCAAAAACCACATAAAATGGGACAAAAATGTTAATTATTTTGGATCTGAAACTTCTAGTGTGCTTTATAATAATCGTCAGGCATTCTTCGTTTCCTGTCGAAGAAAATGATGCAGACTTTGAGACATTTCAAAAAACCTGGAATTTTTCGAAAACATCGGCCCTTTAAGAAATGTTGGGCCAAAATGAACATTTTCACATACATGAAATGAAAACTTCGAACAAAAAGCAATGTTTTATATGCGTCTTTTTTGAGCTCAATGGATCGCTTCTGGCCTAAAAAGCTTCCTAATGGCGTAATTTACGTTTTTGAGTATAATCGGCAGTTAAAGATCGCGACTGGTCAAAATCCATATAGAAGAGGTAAAAAATTTGAAATATTTTCAATCTGGAACTTCTAACTTCTTGTGAGGAAGAGTCTGCTTTCTTCTCGTCTTTTTGATGCAACTAAAGTAGAATTTGAAGCATTTGGATAAAGCTGAAATTTTCGAAGAAATTCACCTTTTTTTCAAAAGATTTATATATTGGTTTCCACCTCCAAAGCTCTCCAATATTGTGATCAGTTAAAAATCGTGACTGATCGATTATTTTGGAGTTGGAGCTTTTAACTCGTTATTTTACTAAAAGTCTTACTTTCTTCGTTTCCCTCCAATAGAAATGATGTGGATTCACCTTTTTTGAGGAACTGAAAGTTTTCGAAAAATCCGACCTCAACCGCTTAAGAAAATTTCTGTCGAAAGTCAAAATTTTTCAAGCTTGTTTTTTGAGCTCAATGGATGGCCTGCGGTCTAAGAAACTTCATATTTTGCATATTTAACGTCTCTGAATTTGTCATAAAGAAAATGTGGCGAGTTAAACGTCGTGATTGACCAAAAACCGTATAAGTTGGGGCGAAAAATGTGGAGTATTTTCGATCGGAAGCGTTTAACTTTTTTTAATAAACCTCTCGCTTTGGAGACATTTTGGGCGACTTGATACTTTGCTGAAAAATCTACCGCTGATGAACATTTCGATCAATCTGTTTTTGCAGCTCGATGCATTGCTTTCGATATAAGAAGGTCTCTGTGCACAATTAACCTGTTTGAGACTGATCAGAAATCGTATAAATTTAGCAAAAAATGTCGATTTTTTCGATCTGAAGCCGCCCGATGAAACTTATGGAGAATTTCAGACATTTTGAGAAACTTGCTTGGAAAGGCTGGAGTGATTTGAAGAACCATACATATTTTGCTAAAAAACAAGGTCAACTGCAAAGTGTGCCATTTCGGTTAAACTAGCGGGAAAATAATGCAAGATTGCAAATTTAAGTAGCAATGACACGCATTTATATATACACGAGTTGCAGTTAATTGAATTACAAGCAGACCATTTTTGTTCAAACCTGTTTTTCTAGAAATCATTACTGCCTCATCCAATGCAAATACCCCAATGAAACGTTGTATGCAAAACAATCCCAGTGGCGCAAAATGAATTATTGATCATCCTGTCGCATACCAGGCGATTGTTCTTCGCTCATTTCCATAGAATTGATTTTTTTGGAAGCGACTGATCGTATATCAAGCTAAACCGATCACTGTAAAGCGCTGCATCAAACCACTGCAGCCATGGAAGGTGCTACCGTTGAACTGACCGAGATTCAGCAGTTTTACAGAAATGAGACGGTGTTTTTGACTGGCGCCACTGGTTTCCTTGGGAAGTTGATGCTGGAAAAAGTGCTACGAGCTCTACCGGTGAAGAAAGTGTTCCTTTTGATACGCACCAAGAAGAACGTGGCACCTTCGGCAAGGCTGCAGGCGATTTTTGAGTCCCCCGTACGATGACCCAATCCAGTAAGACACAACAGCTAATGAACGGGATTTTAGATTTTCGATGGCATTAAGCGAGACCAGCGGACAGTCTTCGACAAAATCGAAATTATACAGGGCGACTGCGAGTTGCCGATGTTGGGGATCTCAGCTGCGGACTTGCAAAGGATGCAGGAAGAAGTGACAGTAATTTTCCATTTTGCTGCCACTGTGCGCTTCCATGAGCACATCAAAAAGGCGACTTGGTTGAATGTGAGGGCCACTAAGGACCTGGTGGGCATAGCGAAGCAGCTCAGAAGAATCAAGGTAGTTTGCGTGCGGCAAATGCGGCTTGCTCTGAAACTTCCCGCAATTCCTAGACGTTCGTTTATGTGGGAACAGCATTCTCCAACTCCAACCGAAAGGAGATTGAAGAGCAAATTTACCCGTCGAGGATTTCAGCCGAAAACCTCATTGCAGTTTGCCAGAGCCTCGACGATGCCACCTTGAGCTGCATGAGCAGCAAGTAAAACGCGCAGTTTCCACAGTCCTCAAACCCCTCACAAGAGTTTTTCCAGACTCACCGCTGACTGGCCGAACAACTACACCTTCACCAAACAAGTGGCCGAAGAATACATCGGCCGGGCGGCCCAAGACATCCCAATATGCATCTGCAGGCCTTCGATTGGTAAGTTTCCCGATGGCAGCTGGACACGTTTTGCAGCTGAACTTGCTTGCAGTGGTTTCAACAGCTGCGGAACCCATCGAGGCCTTCATAGACAGCCCGGTGTCGATGGGAGGCCTTTCAGTCATGTTCGGGCTGGGAATTTGCCGCATTTTCTACTACAAGAAGATCATCTTGGATGTCGTTCCAGCCGATTATGTTGTGAATGAGTGCATTGCAGCTGGCTGGCACACCGGCGAGTGAGTTCTCGCGTTTGTTGGCTTGTTGGGGGTTCGCAGGTTCCTAGTTTTTCCTCAGCGTTTGCTCCTCCCTTGTTCTGCTTGGGGGGTTTTCACCACTTCCTCCCAAGCTTGCTCAGAACTTATGAAAGTAACTGGAAAACCCCTTGATTTCCCCAGGATGTTCCGGGACACCAGAGCCAAAATACCAGTCTACCACATATGCAGCAGTATCGAGAACCCTGTGAGCTTAGGTATGTATAAACTGGCCCAACTGGTCGCTTTCAACTGTCCTGGGACATTCCAGAAGACCTGTGGGAACATGGACAAGTCCAGAGCAGAGCAAATGCGTCGCTCAAAGCCGTCATGTACCCGATGTATTTTGTGACCACGTGCAAACCAAACTACCTGTTTTGGAAGTTCGTTCTAGAAACAATGGTTGCGCACATAACCGATTTGATGCTGAAAATGCGCGGCCAAAAACCGATGTGAGTGTCCAGCGATGCAGCCAATCTTTGCCCAAAATTATCCTCAACTTCCTAAAGGTTGGTGTCGGTGATGAGGAAGTTGCACGCGGTTCAAGAGTCGTTAGAGCACTTTACTTGCAACGCGTTCCACTGGCACGTCGAGAACCACTTCAAGCTGCAGAAGAAGATGAGCTTCAAGGATCGAGAGCTGTTCAACTTCAACATTAAGGCTTTGGATTGGCACACCTATTTTAGCCAGCAGGCGAAAGGCGTGCGGGTTTATCTCATAAAGGACCCGTTCACCACCTTGCCGGAAGGGTTCAAGCGAATGAGGCGCTTGAGGAAGATTTTTATCGTTGTTCTGCTCGTCAGTGCGATTGTTTTGTACGGTTTAGGCAAACTTCTGTTTTTCAGGCTTTTGCCTTTGGTGTTCGCTTTCATTGCCTACTGTTTGCGCTGCTTGGTTTGCTGAGCTGGAAGTTGCTGTTGGGTGCAATAAATTGGTGAAGAAGCCCTTGTTTTTTCCCGTTTTCCTGCTGTTGTTTGCTCCTTTCCATTTGCACTGGAAGTTGCGATTTGATCATTCAGCATAGTTCCTCTTCGTCAACTTCAACGTTTCTTGCTACTGCTTCAGTCTGGTTTGAAGCTGAAATTTGCAGATTCCTTTGGACTAAGATTAAGCGCGTGAGAATTTTCAATTAACAGTCCGTGACGAAAACTCGTTCAAAGACTCGGTGTTTATGAGACGAAGACTATCGCACTAAAACTAGTTCAAGTTAAATTTCATCAGCAAACTAAGTGAACTTTAAGCTGAAAAGCGCAAACAACATTCAAACATACAGCCGTGCATGCATTGGCTGAAAGTTTCCGGATATATTGTATTAGTGTAACAGAATATTGAACAATCAAAACTTCGGTTTGCAGAAAACAATTTGCCAAATGAAATACGCGATTGCTGAGGCAACCATATTAAATTTAAAGAGCTGCACTTTCAGCTCGAGAACTCTTCGGCTCGATGAACAAAGTTTGCTTATTTGCTACGTAGTGAAACGAGCAGACAGGATATTGCGTTTGTTGGTGTTCGCCATAAATACCCATCTGAACGTCAATCAATAAAGTGCCCTTCCAGCAGGAATATTTGAATATTTTATCGGCCAGGTGGAATCTTGCCAAATTTTTCTGTTACTGTTCCATTTGCGCCATTGACTAAAGCCGAATAGCTGATATTGGCGCAGCCAAAGCTTCTTATTAGACTGTAAATTACCGGAATTACATCATTAAAGTGTCGTTCCCGTTGTTAAGCGCTTTAGCGTGACTTATAATGGAATAAAGCCGATATGTGGAGGCTTTTTCTTCACGTTTTCATCTCCATTTATTTGTTATGCTATTACAAGTCGACGTATTCTCTTTATGGGGCGCCAATG